ATACTTACTGTTTGGAAAACTCTGTCGGCGAAAAGTTGTCCCCTTTTTTAATACCTTCGCGAATGAGATTCTGTTCTTTCCGAGGGCAATATCATTTTCAGTTGTATTACTTTTTCACTTCGCTTCACTTTTCACGGGTAGGAAAATTGTGACTCCCAATCATGTACATATGTATGAACATACACAGATATGTATATGTATATTTAACAACTGTTTTATTCTAAAAATTACACTGCTGACGTTGGATACTATATTAGATTGGTGAAGTTTTGGTATTTTCAACCCAACTTTTTGCCGATTGACTATTTATTAAGACGAAAGTTATCTATTAGCCACAATCTGACAGGTCAGACTTCCATTTTCCTCTAACTGCGAACAATTGTGAAAATAAAAGCTGCTTAAGAAAGAATACAGAATGGAATGGCGTGTATAATAAACACCGACGACGAAACCAGCTAGCCAGCAATTGCTTCAACTTGATTGTTGGGATTTGTTGATGGCACAGTGACACTCGATACATTTTAATTGCTCAAATTTTTTTCCTTTTTATTTTTTATGTACTATGTATTTACACATGTAAATAAATGCATGATACAAAAATGCCCAACATCCAAAACATGAGAAATAGGCAACAGTCGTCAATGGCAACAAATTGGCGACTCGCCGATTTATTGCCGTAGTGAGAAATCGGCAACATTATTTCTTTTATGTAATTTTAGGAATATGTTTTCGAAAATTCCCAAACTTGATGAACTTCGCGTCAACAGCATTCTTCAAAAACATGTAATTTATGCCCAGGAAAGGGTTGAAAAAATAGGAAGCCTCATAGTGACGAAAATAGTTAATTTCGTTTACAAATTATAAGTATGTGTTCAAAAACAAATTAAATATTAAAAAAGAATAAAATTGTTGCAAGAAATTATTATCCAAATATCGCCTGTAGCAAAAATAAAACAACTCATTCAGGTAATAAGGTATGAGGTCGACAAGTTTTCTTATTTCCGGCAACAAAAATTCTCAGGTTGGTATAATACATGCACAAATTTATATATGTAAATATACATATGTACACCAATGATACATATTTTTTATTTGATGGTAAAACGCATTAACATATATATGCATAAGTGCAAATGGATCCCCGGTTAACCAGCTCTAACAGCTACACACAAAGAAAATTCAATCTAATAAATATATGCATATTGGTGTATACTAGCTATTTTTATTGCATCTATTCATCTGTTAAACAGAGAAAATTTCTTACAAATACAAATATTTTTTGGTTTAGAAGTGCCTGGTATACGATTTTTAGATATCTATGAGTTTTATACCAACTCGAAACACTGTAATTTGTTTTAATGCAATGCTAAAACGAGAGAGAAGTTATGTTTCAACAGCTGACTCTACGGCCAGAAAGAGAGATGCAGCTGTGTTGTGCTAACAGCTGATGTTTGTTTACGTTTCGCATCGCCTTGTTTGTCATAGCGAAGGAAGTTGGTTTCGAAGTATTTTTGGATTTTGGAGATTATGTACTTTAAAAAATCAGAAGGAAAAATTAAAATAATAGTATTAATAGCAATAGTAATAATAATATTAATAACAAGTAAAGAAATATAAGTTCGGGAGAAACCGAACTTTATATACCCGTTTCAATTTTCTCTAAACTAACTTTGCATGATAAAAAGGGGTATTTTTCCCAATTTCAAACGCTTTCGGTAATATGCCGAGTAAGATCTAATGATATAAATAAACCAAGTTTGGAAGAAATCGATATGTTTACCGAGATACACCTTGTAATTATGAAAAGGGCGATGCCACGCCCAATTTCTAAAACTCTATAGCAGTCTTATTTATTGTTAAGAGATTGTTGTAATTATTAACGCCCAGTTATTGAAATATCGGAGTTTTCGTATGTCTGAAATTTACCGTTATACGGGAATCGGGTGTAATTTTAGTTCGATTCGAATAATTTTCAACAAATTGCTTTTCCGTATTAAGATTATTAAGTGCACCGAGTTTGGTAGAAATTGATACACATTTTTGGTAATAAGTGGAAGGCGGCACGACCATTTTCCAAAAATTTATAATAATATAATAATTTTTATGTTATTGCAATAATCGATTTTGAGTGAATTAGCTTCAGTTCTAGATTTATTATTTATGAATTAGTACAATAGTAGATTTTTCGCAATTTTCGTGTTTCTGTAATTTACCGTTATATGATAGGTGGGCGTGGTTATTGCCTGATTTCAAAGATTTTCAACTGGTATTTTAGCCAGACCCCAGGCAAGGCTCGCACCGGGTTTGATAAGGATTGGTAGAGCGGCTACTGAGATACAGCATTTCATCATAAGTGGGCAAGGTCACGGTCATTTTCCAAAAATTTTATAATAATGTTATTTTTTACAAAAAATTATTCAAAGCAAATATTTACTGAAATATCATAGTTCTTGTATTTTTTGAAAATACGTGAATATGTGAAGTGGGCGTGGTTACAGTCCGATTTCGCCCATTTTCAATACCAACCTACCTTGCATAAAGGGCGACCTATATACACGTAATAAGAAATGTGAACGCGAATTATATTTAAAGTTCTTATTACATATTTAATTTTTACAATGAATTATTTTTTTAATTTTTTCATTTGACTACAAAAAGTATTCAGAGGAAAGATTTCATAAAATTTTAAATAAACAAGTAAATATCTGAACAAGTAATGTCGTACATACTCTCCCCTCCAGAGACTTTGCTAATGTTGAAGTCTCGATCTAAAGTGTACGTACATGACGTGGAATGCGACGTCCTAAATTGGAGTATAACTACTGTAACAGAAACTGAACGAGTGTCTTCACAAATATCAGTATTGAACATAAATGCTGGCTTGAGTCGATCAACTGATAGTTGCGTTCCAGATGCTTCACGATATTCACGATTTGCAGGAACAGCTGTTTTCTCCATTAATAAACCGTAAAGCATCTGGAACGCAACTGATATAGATTTGGTGCAATCATCCATTTTTATGTTGAAAACTTTGTCATCTCCGCTCAGAACCAGATAAGGACCATCATATGGTGGTTGAAGAGATTTCTTAATAGAATTTTGACGCACGTATACGTAGTGCATGAAGCAACATCTTTGTGCACGAAAACTGAACGAGTTCATTGAAGATTTCAGTTGCTTGACAAAGTCATCCGAAGGAGACAAATCTCTAGTATTAATAAAAAATCACAAAGAAGCTTTAAAGAAGTTCCATAAACAAGTTCAGCAGCACTGGCGTTTACATCATCACTTAAACTTGACCGAAAACCTAGCAGCACAATTGGTAACACTTCCATCCAGTTATTAGTATTGTGGCACACGAAAGAAGTATTCAGGGAACGATGCCACCGTTCAATCATGTCATGGGTGCAACGATGATATGGCGGAGTGCGTATTCGTTGAGATCCAAGAAGCTGTGCAACTTATTTAAATAGATTTGACTCAAATTGGCGAACCTGATCCGCTGTAATCCTGGAAGGAACTCCAAAAGGAGATATCCATCCGTGAAATAAAGCCTCCGCTACTGAGTGTGCGTCTACTATGGGAAACGCTTCTGTAATCCAAGAATTAAAGATAAAGAATTTGGGTTTTCCAATAAAGCTTTTAATTCCGCATCGCCCTCTTCATAATCGATGAGGTTTGGCAAAGCTATAGTTGAGATCCGAGAGAGTATCTGCTGTAACGTTTTCATTCCCTTTAATATGACTTATATCTGTGGAAAACTGTGACAGAAGGTCAAGTTGTTCGGAATTGACGGGGCGACACCTTTTCAGGTTTTTGTTTAAAAGCGAAAGTAAGAGGCTTATGATCCCTATAGATTATAAAATGGCGACTTTCTAGCATGTATCGAAAGTGCTTGACCGTGTGATATACCGCAAGTAGTTCTCTATCATAAGTACTATAGCGTTTTTGAGTATTATTCAGCTTCAAAGAATAGAATCCAAGTGGTTTCCCAACTTCACCAAATTTTTGTTGAAGAACGCTACCAATTGCTAAATCGTAATCGAATCGACCATAACGGATATCGGTGCCAAATCAGTAGGATGAGTCAATAGATTGAGCTTCAGGTGTCTATTCGATTAGAGATCTGTCGTTCTTCTTATTACCTTTCTGATAAATAAGAAGTGGGATTTGCATCTCCGCCGCGTTTGGAAAAAATTTAACATCGCAGTAAAACGTCACATCTCTTTGACAGTATTCGGTTCCGAGAAGTTTAAGATTGCATCGACTTTCTCAGGAACTGGTTGAATGCCTTCGAAGGAAACTAAGTGGCCACGAAATGTTACTTTGTTTTGTCCACAATGACATTTGGAAACATTAATAGTTAGACCATATGTTTGTAGGCGATTAAAAAATTTTATACTGCTCAGGAAATTCAGATGCGATTAGAACATCGTCGAGATAAGGGAAACAAAAGTCAAGCTCTATAAGAACCTCATGCATAAACCGCTGAAATGTTAGAGCGGCGAGGTCATGAATTGAAATTCAAATAAGCCCAATCGGCTGGAGCAACTGGAATTTGATTATAGACACGAACTAAGTCGATAGTTGAAAAGATAATTTTTCCTGATAGCCCATAAGCAAAATTACAGATGGACCACAAAGTCCTTGATTCACCATAAACTGAAGTTCTCGTTGCAATTTCGAGTTTATCAGGTGCCAAACGAAGAGGTCTCGAAAATATCGCTAGACCTTTTGGCCTCAATAAAATATTCAAATGTTGCAGTGAGAACCTGCCGTCATACTCGGTGAAAATGGACCCCTCTCGCGGTTTACGTTAAATTATTGTACTTTACTTTTTACTTGATCTTGGGTGCAGGTTTAAAAATGTTCAAAAATAAAAACAAATCCCAGAAACAACTTCAGTCTTAATAATTACAAAAAAAATTAACTGTAATAAATATTTGGATAAACTGCTCAAAATTTTTTGCTGCCAACTTGAATCCATGGATAACGTTAAAATGCCTTTTTGTAAGCAATATACAGATACGCATTATATTATTTAAACAAATTACTTAACGAAAATCATTTTATGGGTTCACAGTACCCGAGGAAACTCTCAAAACACAACGTGTAGAAATTTATTTAAACGATCTTAAAGAAAGATTGAAGGATTTGCGTGTACAACATGACGAGGTCATACAAAACTCAGTGGATATTATTAAAGAAATTGATGAAGTTTCTTCCGGACTTTTACTGCCACAAAAAATCGGGAAATGTTCTAGCGACAATGTTACCAAAATAAAAAGACTTATACAAGAGTTTGAAACGGCAAGAGAATCGAATTCAAAAAAGATGCCAATATCCATCGAAAGTAAAGTAGATATCCGTAAAATTTTACAGAATTTTGAACAGCTGAATGAAAGTCAAGTACTTAAGGAGAGCCTTGTGCTTTTCAAACGCGCTAAAGAATCACTCGAGAAAATAGATACGTTCCTCGGTACAAACTTGGATAATGTTATAATACAATCAGTGAATACAAACAAACCGAATGCTGGACACGCGATCATAAGTGTGAACGCAACTGTTGTGGAGCTTAACGGTGTCAAAGAAAGTATATCATTTAACCTAAGCAGAGATACCAAACAAACGTTTGCCAACTGCGGAAGTAAAAATGTAACGGATGATTCTTTAAAATTGGCAAATGACCCTGTCTTATTCACTAACCCAGCTGAATTAGCGGCCACTGGGAGTCAAATATCATCCAATAGCAATTCTAGTTTAAGGGATCGCATAGATATGTTTAATAACAAAGAGGCGCCGCTTGCAATCGATTACAATAAATTAAAAGATATAACGCCATCCTGCTACGCTTCGTGCTGCAGCAGTCTAACCAGTGTGGACGCCTATCAATCTACGGAAAATTTGTGTGAATACAAGATGATTAATAATGAGAGCAATGGTGTAAACTCTCTAGAAATTGGTTACGAAGGCGACAATGATGATAGTGAGTACGACTTATTTGCAACTAAGCGGAAGAAAGACAAAATTTCCTCTGCAAATCAGTAGGCGAGATCGTTTAGGGACCAAATGCATGGGGGTATGTCAGAGCAGTGTTGGGAGTTGTAAAATAACGTTATTTCTAATGGTATTTCAAATATAAATTCCTACGAAATGTATTAAAAAAAAAAAAACTAGAAATAAAATTCAAAAATACAAAAACTGTATTTTTCGGAATTCTTTTTTCAAAAAAAGTTGACGTTTTTACCAGTCACCATATAATCGCTACTTTAAATAAGCTTTTTAATTACGTTGGTTGAGTATGAATGTAGAAATACACGAAAGTGATTTAAGTTTTTTATTGGAGAAAGTTCAGTTTCCCTTAACCAGAAGCTGAGATAACGGGCTATATGAATAAAAACTAAGCAATTGCTTTTTCTTAAAATTCTAAGGGTCTTACTCGACTTATTTAAATAAATTTAAATAAAAGTTCTAAAAATTGTAAGAAAAATTTTTTATAAGGCCCAAGCTTCTCCTTGTTGCATATGGCTTGAGGATATATATATCGTTACTTTAACTCACAAAGGCCCCAACCAACACTTTTCTAAACTGCGTGTTTCAGATTTATTAAAATTCATCTTCATTTAAAATTTTGAAGTGTTAGTACCAAGAACAACGGAGTTATGTCATTTTTTAAAATGCATGATTTTCTTTTCATAATGTTTTTGTTTCTCCTGTAAAATAGAAAATTTCCTGGTTAGGCCTTTGTGAATTAAGGAAAGATATGTATGTATGTATGTACAGTAGACTGCATCACTCCCCATACAAAAAAAAATCGGTGCTATTTTTCCATTGGAATTATAAAATTTATTATATTTTAAGACGTCCACCAAAATATTTCGGAAAAATATTAAGATTTAAGTGAGTTGGACCGATTTGAAAATACCTCTAAAAATGGAATTTTATATGAATAAAAATAGTTTCTTCACAACCAAAGCCACTTTGAATTCATATTGATAGTTGTTGAAATTTACTCGGAAGTTAATAACAGAACCTGCCTGATTATCAGAAATAGTTCCAACAGTGACCAGTTCACGAATAATTACACCGGGAAACAAAAATGGAAACAAATTTTGGTGCGGCAATGATTGAAGCTATGGGCTTGTTCGAGATGCAATCACAACCGCAGTGTTGCGCGAATTATTAAAGTATCACGTTCGGTGTGAATTTCTAGCAAAGTTTTATCAAGTGGGAAGTTGCAACTGTATTGCAAATTTTCATCAGTGCTGCAGTATTGCCGCTTATATTACGTGCCTCGAACAGGCTCTATATACAAAGTTTTCATCAGCTCCGGATTTTGAGAAAAAACGTAGTCAAAGTGTCAAAAAATCGTTTTTAGGCAATTTTTGAGAAGCTCTAACGAAGAAACCAAAAGAGATGGAACCTTCCACCTCGGCTTGAATCAAAACTTGAACTTTCGACAACAATCCATGAAAATATCCTACCTACACCTTGACCTGTCACTTATGGTGTATGCGCAGTGATTTTTAACCCTCACTAAATATTTTCAATAATCTGTAAAAATTTTACTGGTAATGAAATTTCGTTTAGGAAGTGTTCGACTATCTCTTTTGAGCTAAGGTCATCACACCTATGACAGAACCTTTTGAAAGGCAATCCAATCCTTTGGCATGTACCCCAACGGGCCAGTGCCCTGTGCATACAGCAATAATTTTGTAGTTATCTTCTTTGCTCATTCCTAAAAGAGCTTTGGATTAAAGTGGGTCATAGGACACCCAGAACTGCCGGGTAATCCTGTACGATCCTGCATGGTTCCACCTCTGCTTGGCCTTCGAGTGATAAATTTCGGTAATTTTTGCTTTTATCTTCCTGAGCGAGGCACTCATGTCCACCGCGTGAGACAAATTCAGTACGGAGCCGCACCTTGCTGGTTCGTCCGCTGCCTCGTTAATATAAATGTCTCTATGTCCCAGGACCAATATTAGGGTAATTTCTTATTGATCAGATATATAGGCCAGTTCTCTCCTACAGTCGTCTACTAGTTGAGATCTAACTGAGGTAGAAGAGAGAGCCACGACAGTCGGGTCTACGTAACCGGAACGACCCAGATTTATATCTGGCCAAGGACTGTCACTCCAGCAACACTCCCCAAAAAGTCTTTGGGGAATTTGTATGCTGCTACAACAACAACAACAACAACAGAGAGCCTCAACGGCAATTTTTTGTCAAGCAATTTCGCACTAAATTTAAATGATTATAAATCATAAAAAGTAAAAATATGCAAAAACCACATATGTACATTTACTGTAAATTATACTAAAACATGCGCAAGAAATATGCAAAATCAGGTATTTTTTGCATAATATACAAAATCATGCATTTACTGCAAAATATGCAAAAATATGCAGTAACGATTAAATGCCATTTTAAAGGAAATTTCATGATTCTTAAAGATAACTTAACCATTTCCAGTTGAAGATGCCCAATAAAAACAGGCATTTGCATGAGATTCCGAGGCCTAATTACACCGTGCGACAAAAACCAAAAATTTTTAAGACACGAAAAAATCAATAAATTCGCAAAACTATGAGCCAAATACAGTATAACTGCGATTTTAATTTTTCCCTCTGACGTCAGGATTTTTTTTAAAGGACTTTGAAATTTCTAGGATATGATTGAATAACAAATTATTTAAACGATTTGGTGCATTGTAGAGTAACAATATGGGGTATCACTAAAAAGGAAAAATTCGAAAAAAAGTAATTATAATAAATATAAAGAAAATAATAATAATTGTACTTCTAAAACTTTATCCTTGAACATCTATGGAAATTTCCAATATTTATTTTTGGAAAAAATATATGATTCCAGTATCTTCATTTATGTATATTGTAACTATCAATATCTTATAAAGAAAAGTGTAATCTTTTTTTAACTAAAACTAATAAAGTTAGAGCGCCGAAATTCGATGATAAATATTGAAAATTTCCAAGGATGTTCAAGGGTAAAGTTTTAAAAGGACATTTTCAATACTTTGTATTTTTTCGAAGTTATTAACAAGGCGCCGCCAGATTGGCCATTTCTCCCACTGTGCGTATGTAAATTGATTACACTGCACAACAGTATATGTGATTATTAGGTTATGTTACATGTTACTAGCTTAATTTTTGATGACGATTTCATATCTGTGATTGAAATTTCTGTGCCAGCGCTAGTTTAGAAACTGTGACACATGGGCTTTTTACAATAAAACACAGCGTATTTATAGTTAATCTAATTTTTTTTAAGATCTTCCGTTGAAAAAACTTTCCTTATTCTTATACATACCATATGCTTCAACTTATGAAGGAAGTGTTTTTGAATCAGAATTATTTTGAATTTTATTTTTCAATAAAATGTATTTTTTCACACATTTCACTAGATAACCATAAAAACCTTTTTGAGCTCGTTATATAAAAAAAATCTTAAAAAGTAATTGCGTCAACTCAAAACTCACTTTCGCAAACAATTTAGTTTTAAAATGAAAATGTATCTAAGATTAAAAAATGATGAAAATGTATTACTAAATGTTTGTACTATTTGCCGTTCTGTAAACATCATTCATTCATTTGGCTTTAAGTAAAATATTTACTTACACACATATATACATATGTACATACATATATATATATATATATATATATATATATATATATGTATATATTTCGAATACAATATTTTATTTTAGCAATCGCTTCCCTCCGATTCTTGAAAACTGTTTGTGTAGTTTATTAAAATAAATATAAGCACCGAGCCGAAAAGAGCACCAATTTGTGTAAGTCCGCCAGTCCATACGAGAGATCGACCACCCTGAGCGCGCATAATTGACGAAATCGATAGCTTGGTATAGCTCACCAATCCAATTAGCAAAGTCCAACAAATTATCTTGAAGAAAAGTTATACTTACAAAAGGAATTCACATGTAAAGTTATTTATTTATGAAATAGCTTACCACGATCACCGATCCTGCGGTGGTGCCATGCAATGGCGGCAATGGACTCATGGAAGCTGTAACAAACACGTACGCAGTCAAAACGGCACACAACGAGCATAGCACATAGATAGGCCGCAACGATGTATGGGGCACAAAAATCGCTAAGAAACACGCAACCGGATTAGCAATTACACTCAAAGTCACAGAGAGGTGGTACGCCTGGTTACCATACGGTAAACTTGAGTAAGATTGTATGGAGTTGAACATGCCATTGGCCATGAAGGATAAGCAGCCAATAAGTAGCAACAGTAAAATATATTCGTTGGCTGAAATTTGTGTCGCCTTATTTTCGTTATTGGGTGTGTCTGTAACTGCAGCATGGTCTGTAGTATTAGGCGTGGTATCCTCTTCATATTTATAGTTGTTGCCAAAATCGATTTGGCCTGCAACATATTCCTGCTTTACTAATTTAAGTCGATCCAGCAGAGTAAAAGCAATGCCACTGCATACAAACAAAGCGAAAATACATAGGAAGAATTCCATAGAGCCGAAGCGTGGAGGAAGTGTTTGTTTCTCGTAGACCTCTTCACCGGATATTGTGTTGTTCACCAAGACGCATTCGGCATCACCACCGATGCCCTGCACCAGTGATAGAACACTTGGTAACAAACCACTTAGGCCCTCCCCCATAAAATATCTATTTAAAACAGAGAAAAAACTTATTTGTTTTGGAAAATATGCTCACTTTCAAAAAATTTAATACTATAAGTATATGAGTTGCCATTCACAATCGACGCGTAAATCTATTTTATAAAGCCACATTGTATGAAACAGTTTAATTAATTTTTACTTACGTTACTAAGTACATTTCCTTAAAACGACCCATATAAGGCATGAAGAGCACCGAACTTGTACATGCCGTGAGAGCGGATGAAAATGTGAGTATATATAGAGCTAAGCTGCGTTCCGCGCCAAATACTACCACGGTTTCACTATAGAAGAAGCTTGTGAACAATGCTGCCAATGTGCCCACCACCAACAAAACATAAATGAATAGCGAATCGTTTATCCTCTTCTTCGCAAAGTGTTGTATGAGGGTGTACGTGATCGGACCTATATTTCCAATCTGTACCGCAACGCTTAGATACGATGCTAAACTCCAACTTTCTGGCGCCTCTTTTACTAGCAGCGGTACTTGAATAAAAGTACCTAAAATAGTAATAAAATGTTCTGTATAATATAATACATTCAGTGTTATTAAATATGATTTTTACCGTTTACACCTATCCATGTGCCTATGCCAAAAAGTATCGACAGTAAATCCACTACGAAGCTCCGACTTTTTATTATGTTTGTCATCCTTTCTGCAAATTTTTTTCGGCAAGGGGGTGTTGGCTTTCTAAAAAGGAAAATATGCTCTAATTTACGTTTGTTTATGGACACATAATAAAAAGTTTACGAACAATTTTCGTATCTGCACGCCACAATTCTATATAATATCTGAATGATAATGACAACAAGAGTTGTGTTTTATATAGATGTGCTATAATTGCATCATATTTATACTAGTGTAAATATGTATATTGCTATAGATATATATACATACATGTATATAGTAATCATAGACCCTTAATTGAAGAGCTCATTAAAATTTCCTACTAATACAAATAATACAAATCAACAGTACTAGTATTTGTTTAAGAAATCCAAGAAATCATATTTTCCGTTTTTTACTGTGAAGCGATGCTTGGTTTACAGAACAATAAGTGCCATTAATAAATCTGTGGTCATAAGCAACAATCTTTAAAGTCGGGAATCATACTCTCAAGAAAATCTCAATTATAAGAATGTACATATGTATGTAAGTTAACATCTTTTATGAGCAAAATTTTATTTGTACATTAATAAAAATTAATTTAATGCATATAATAAATTATTTAGTGGTTAAGTAGTTATTGAATTAAAAAAAAAAATGTTTATTTTGCCTGATAAATTTTCAGTGTTGACAAAATGTTAATCTGATTATTAAATTTAAAAAAAAAAATGTTTATTTTGCCTGATAAATTTTCTGTGTTGACAAAATGTTAATCTGATTAACGATTAAAATGTTCATCATGATTAACGATTAAAATTAATTAATCGTTATCATCTGTACGATTTATGATTAAACTTATTTTGATTACGATTAATTAATTTTAATCATTAATCGTTAATCCAATTTAAAAAAAATCGGATGAAGTGATTTTGTTTGCCCGAATGAGAAACCAAACACCAATTATAGTTATTATTTCATGCTTCATGCTTAAAAAAAAACACATTTTATATATGTACATATATGAAAAATTAATAATTATTATTACAAGTAATACACAAACTGGGAATTTTTACACTATCTTCTAGTCAATAAGTATGTATATCAACTGGTTTGTTTGTAATGGTTTGTACTTTAAATCTTAGCTTTCATAAATACTACTCCTTTATTTTATTTTCCTAATATTACCTTTTATTTGTACTAGTGTTTTGACAATAAATAAATTAAATTAAATGGAAAACTAAATTAATTTCAATACGCATTTTGGTTGCAATAAAATATATTTTATAGAAACTTGAAAAAATACCTTAAAGAAATATGATTTTTATTAATTAAAGAACTTCTATGCGTAACGAAGGCCACTCCAAATAAAAACCAGGATTGCAAAGCGGAAGGCCTCTTGACTGCCAGGAAGGCAGTCTGGAACTTTTGCCGTACTATGTTGATGATAACATTTACTAATACTGGACAGTACCAATACCAAATGTACTCAGAACTCGATTCTTAAAAGGATCGAAAGTACCCTATTTTTAAAAGTATCGACACTGAGTACTCCAAAGTACGACGCGCGGGCCGCCGCGAAGCTACGCTCCAGTATGCGAAATAGTGTCAATTGACCTTATTTCTCTTGATTTCGTTACCTGGCACCATTCAATCCTCGTAATTGATTTAAATAAAGTGCGGCCAGTTTGTGAGATTTCTACACTAAGCATTGAAATGTTACGAACATGTGTATATTGAAAGAAAGTACTCAAAACTCTAATTAAAAATATCGATACCAAAGAACTCGATCCTCAAAAACACTCGATACTTCGCCACACCAATATTGTTTACCGTTAAGGAAAAAAATTGATAATTTTTGATTTTTTTCCTTGGATACATTTTTTAGCAGACTTGGGGTCGGTGGAACTCTTAATATTTAATTTTTCGTTCTTCGTATTCCACTTTAAGCTACACATTTAGCTGAAAACTGGCACTTAATAATTTTTGGTATTTCTACAATCAAAAGTTGTAACTCAACCAGAAATTCCATAGCTGATAAATTATTAATTGTACCTACGTGCATTTGAGAGGTGACTGTTTTTTGATAAATCGCTAGATATTTATTGCTTTGCACCAAGCATATTGTAGGAATATCGCACGTTTAATAACATAACGAAGTATTTCAAAATTTAAATTTTGTGGGAAAACGCGATCAAGGTTTTATCAATTCATACAGTTGGTATACGAAAAGACAGATGGAAATACACATATTTTCGACATATTTGGGAAGTTTGGTTATCTGTTAAGCAGTGTTTGCATTATTCAACTCAACGCAGGGTTGCACGAAAAAAAAGTTGAATGGCTAAATGTTGGCTGGCGACCAACTTATTAGTTGAAAGGCCATTCAACCAAAAGTTGAATGCAAAGTTGAACAATGCAAACACCTTTTTATGGCGAATATTTTGATATTTTTCCATATTTTGATATTTTTAGCCATTCAACTTTTTTTTCGTGCAACCCTGCGCTGAGTTGAACGCAAAGTTGAACAATGCAAACAAGCTATTAGACTGCACATATTCTACTTATCAAGCTTAATAATTGCATAATGAATCTGCAAAAACGCAAATTTTGAGTTACATCTCTACATTAAATATTAAACGTGCGTACATACATACACATCGGTACCTTAATAGAGAAAGGCCCTATTTTTGACATCATCGCTGAAATGCAAAAAAAAGCGTAACTGACTAAAATTGAGTATTGCATAAAAAGATGTGGGGACTTATCGACTATTCGATGGAATGCATCATAATCAATCAAAACGTGAGTTCTTAATTTTTAGTTAGTTACGGCTTTTTGTATTTCAGCGTCGATGTGAGATATGGCCCTTCTACATATGTATATTATGGTTACGATATCGTCGGTGATAATGCAAAACGTTCTATGTCACTTATTACCTCTGGTGCTTAATTAATCTGTTATCTGCATCTGATCGCTTCTGGCAATCGTCCATTTTCATCAGCCAAAGTAGACAGTCTTGTCATTCGTTTATTAGGGTGTAACGATATGCAGATGCATTCCGGAGCAAGTAAGAGACCATATGAGTGTCAAGGGTACTAATAGACATAGACCGTTTTGCAGTATCACCGACAATTTGTAAATAGGATTTTCTTGATAAGAATTTATTGAGTTCAAACTTTTCGTGATCAAAAGTTCTATCTTACGAGCATTTCGTATGGACATAAAAATATCTTAAGCCAGCAAGCAAAAATATCGTACACAAGTGCTTATGTACATATGTACATATGTATGTGTATTAGGGTAGTCCAAAAAAAAGTAAAGTCGGAAATTTAATGCTCTCACCCCCTAGGATTGTTCTATACCGAAAAAAAGTATACTCCTGTTTTTTTTATTTTAAAATCAAAATATATTTAGAGGTCGCTCAAAGCGCTCAAAGTTTCCCATGTATTTTGTATGGGGCAAAAAATACTTTTCGTAAAAATGGCATAGAATCCATGAAAATCAAAATTTTTCAATCCGAAAACTCTGCTTCTCTTCAGAGGACTTCAGAGAATATGCCCAATTGTTTATTTGAACATTTTTTAGGGACAGGACATTTTAACAACTTTTTCCGTTTTTCTTTAATTTATTTAATATTTATTATTTTTTTATAAAAGTATATCTCAATAACTAACAAAAGCCATTTAAATTCATATTTTAAACTTTCTGCAAAACTTGTAAAAATTCCGCGAAATTCCATCTAAATTTTCAACTTTTTAATCAGAAGAAGTTCTATAGGGGGAGGTGAAATAACACAAATGGCAATAACGCCAAATTTGCTTTATTTCACTTTTAAATGGGAAATAATACAAACAAAGGTTGGAAGTAAAACAAAGTTTGCCTTATTTCCCATTGCATATTGCATTCTTCTCACAAAAATTCTAAATTGTTAAAATCCATTTGCACGTGAAACCTTTTTCCATACAAAACCAGCGATTGAATAGCAGCTTTTGGAACGCTCGCCCAACTCAGAAGCACAACCGTTGATTACTGGGCCTGGCACAGGATGTATCAATGCTTCGAGTAGCAAACCAATTTATTAAGAAAGAAAGAATTTTAATTTTTTCAATGTAATTTTTTTTTATCTTTTTTGTATTTCACATGGCACGCTTTGATGTAGAAGAAAAAAATCGGAACAGTCTTTGACACTTTCGATGCCAGAGCCAACAACAAAATGCAGGCAAATGTTGTTTTTGCTCAAATGCTCTAAACCTGTTTGATAGGCCTTGAATTAAAAAAAATGCGATATAATTCATATGAAGAAAGTAACATTCACAAAATATTATTACTTATGAAAAGTCTAACAAAATATAGGGTAGCATCGTCGTCGCACAGATGAAAACAGATGACGTAATAAAACGGCTGTCTCGTTTTATTTACTGACATTCGGCTGCTTTATAGTCACATTTTATAGGCAACTGTTCAAATAAGGCAGTGGCAAATTCCACTATGGGTGGGATGCACGCAATACCACCATACACAATAATTCCCATTACTTGGTCATTAAAAAGCAGTTTCAGAACAGGTGTTATTTCAATCTTTTTTTTCTTTTTTCTAAACGGTTATAATGCCACCAATACATACATACA